ATAAATTATATGCTGTTCATTGTAATAAGTATACTGTCAAGAAAACAAAAATATGACAGAGAAAATTTATTTATTAGAACTCTAATGCTGTGTTTATTAATTTAATTCATTGAAATATTATAGTTAATTGGATTAATTCCAGTATATTACTGTTTACAACTACGTGATTCCTATAAATCAAATTCAGTATTGTAACTAAAATCCTGAGCAATGTAATTGGTCCAGAACTATTACATTTTATAGATCCATAATTGTTAACGAGTTAGTAATATATTGGGGAGAAAGAAGTGATTCAGTGTCACCTGGAGGAGCGAAGCAGCTCGTTGTGTTTATGATGCTTGAGACATACAGCACGTGAAGTGTGTATTAAAAACTTACTTTAATTCCAACCAGCTTCATTTCTGTATTTAAGTACATTTCCTGCATATGAAATTTTGTTTCAATTATTCCATTTTAGACAAATGATGTTTAGTTCTATTTTGTCTTCTTGGTGCATTTCTAACATTCTTGATGGTGATTGTGATCAATGCTGTCAACTCCATTGGAGCCTTTTTATATATATTTTAGAAGTGGAAATTAGTAAGACAAAATATAAGAAAAGGAAATGTAGAAATGTACCTAATCTTACTTTTTTTGGAAATGAGGAATATCAGTGAATGAACTCCCCCGGGAACTGAGACACTGAACGTGTCGTGTTGGAATAACACATCCTATTGTGTGTGTTGCGTTTGTCCAACATCGTTCTGAAACCTTGTTCTGAAAAGACGAACCACAAATACCATGCCAGAGGCCGAGTCTAGCAACGCTGTTGTTTATATTGTTTACCCAAGATAGTTGGGCACCCAAGTCTCTTGCCTTGCTTCCCTACTTCCCCCCCCCCCCACACACCCTATTCTCACCTCGCTTTTCCTATTCCCCATCTCTTTACAGCTTTTTCCTTTCCTTTCCTCTTCATATTTCTTCCCCAAAGATCTCTCCTCTCTCACAATTAGGAAATGGAAAACAAACACCTAAACAAAATAAAAAGATAATGAGACACATTCACAAAAGTTGCTGATAATTTTTGCATACAAGTTATTTGTATGTGATTAATAATTATGATCCCCGGAGAGAGCTCCGAGGTGCTTCATCAGAGACTGTTCTCACCTCTGACTTCTCGACATTTAATCTGATACAAACCTCGTTAATGATTACATAAAAAAAATTGACTTTGAAGCTATTGGTTTATGTTCAAACACATATGACTAAATTTGCAACCCTTCACAATTCTGGTATAATAAAACTATTCTGGTATAAAATCAAATTATTCATTAAGTTCTTTTCTGAATAGTTTTAATGTCCTGTAAAACTACTCTCTCAGACTGTGAGGCTTATCATGCCTTTATTTTAGTGATATTTTCAAATTTTCAAACTTCTTCAGTTTAAATTCCTAAAATGTATTAATTGTAATCATTCCCTCTAGAAATTTGATTCAGTTCGGAACAATTAGTAGTTCTTTTCTAATATAGACGAAAATAATTAACTTAAAAATTTTGTATATGCTCGAGATAATGCATCTGCTTTTAATTTTCCAGTCTTTGACCCTAAGCTTGGTTTGATACATCTGGAAGAAAACTTTGCGATTTGATTTTGCTTCCCATACGGCTTTTCATTTTACTTTAATTATTTTTTTCTACTTTAGCGATTCTTTGATCATGCAACTTTTAGATGACCTTCCACCCTTTATTTACTTCAACAGCTCTTTCTAATATGCACAGTGGAGGTTCCATGCAGATACTGACTTCCAAAATATGCAAAATCCAAAATTTGCATATATATGTAAGTGGCTTTCAGATATGTATTTAATATTTATATAAAACCACTGGACCTGCAGTTCTGACACGGGGGGGTGCTAGTTCTGGGAGAATGTACATGAATATTCAGGACGCATCTTGTGCTACGTTGCCTGACCGCTGGAACACAGACGAAGTGAAGGAGTCTGTGAGAAGACAGCCAAACTGGCGTCTGTTGTGTGGGAGAAATTTAACGGGAAAGTCTCGCAAATATTGCATTTTCTAACAGACAAACAAAATGCTTTATATATGATAATACTGTTGTTCTACATTTGCAATGAAACATTTTTGGGTAACGTTAACGAGCCGAGGTTCGATTTTCGGTCGAAGCAGAAACAAACAGGAAGTCAGAATATTAAACAACCAACGATTAGAACGGCGGTAACCAAGAGCTAACCTCTCCATCATGCAGACCTGAATAATAAGCACACACACACACACACACACACACACACACACACACACACAAGGGAATCTATACACCAGTTGATTGACAGTTGAGAGGCGGGACCAAAGAGCCAAAGCTCAACCCCCGCAAGCACAATTAGGTGAGTACACACACACACACACACACACACACACACACACACACACACACACACACACACACACACACACACACAATTATACAAAACAAAAGTTTCCCATATTTTTCCTAGACGTTTCAATTCATCAATGTCCTTGTGTCTGACGAATCCAAGGCAATTATCCTAAATAAGTATAAAGGAGAAAAATCAAAGATATATCTTGCCAATGAGTCTTCGTTAAACAAGAGAGTAACGCCCACTGCAGCATCCTGAGTAGCCAGGAGTGAACCGTGTGATTTTATTTGTTTTAATTAGAAATATATTTTTGTCTAAGATATTGAGGGAGGTTTATCTTAAAGTTGTCCTGGTTAGATCAAGGCGAATTATCCAATTTTCCTGTGGCGTGGGCTTTGTAATCTGCTAGGAGTGTCTGCGGCTGACTACTTCATTTTCTGCGAATTCTTGTTTAAATTCTCAAGAAAATAAACACTCACACACATACGCACACGTACACGCTTGCACGCTCACATACACACACTTGGAGCGCTGGTGGCTGAGTGGACAGCACGCTTTATAAATAGTCCTGTGGTCCGGGGTTTGATTCCCGGTGTGGCGGAAACAAAAATGGGCAGTTTCTTTCACCCCGATGCTCCTGTTACTTAGAAATATATAGGGCTGCTTCCTGGGTGTGTGTGTGTTAACCAAAAAAATAGTGGTAGTTAGTAATGTGATTACCACATATGTCATAACAACCCTGGAGTATGCAGCTCCAGCAGGGAGTCCATACCTAGACTAAGTTGGAGAGAGGTCAAAGATATGCCACCAGACTAACTCCAGAACTGTGAAGTATGAGTTACGAGGAAAGGTTGCGTAAATTATTCCTCACGTGGCTGGTGACAGAAGAGACAAGGAAGACATGATTACCACATACGAAATTCTCAGGGGAATTGACAGGTTAGGTAATGACAGACTATTCAAAACGAGTGATGCTCACACAAAGGCACGCAGGTGGAAACTGAGTACTTAACTCAGCAGCAGAGACATAAGAAGAACTATTTTCAGAGACAGGGTAGTTAGAATGCACTAGGACGTTGAGAAGGGAGACTCAATTCACAGAGTCAGAGAAGATATGAGTGAGCTCAATAGGATCAGGAACCTATACATCAGTTGACTGTGAGGAGTGATTACGAAGCCGAAGTTCAAATTCTTCATGTACAATTAGGTGAGTACAGTTAGGAGAGTACAGTTAGGTGAGTGCAAGCATATGGCCCTGTGGCGCAGTGGCAAAGTGGTCGGCACACAATCAAGAATTTTGGTTTGGTCCTCCGACACTACAGAAGCGTTTGAGCAACGTTTACCATCCCTTTGCTCACTTAAATCTAAGAAAAATCTTAGATAAATCTTGATTAATAATAGAACATCTATTGTTGATATACTTCATGTTAAGGTTAGACGTACATATTTAACATAATAGCATAAATAGGGTTCTATTCCAATGGTCAAATTAGGCTTTCCGCAGAGTCAGATTTTCTTATATTCATATGCTTCAACATTTTGGTCATGATTTTTGGGGGTGAGAGCTGTAGTTTGGTGTGAAACATTTGAGCTCTTAGTGAGCTAATTACCGAAGTATTTTCTACATATTCAGCCACGTTCTGGCCGAAAGAAATCAATGAGCAAGATGTATTATTGGCTAGATAGTATGTTCGTCCTCTGTGAATTATATCGTTGAATGATGGAGAAAACACTGGGGGGAAGCCGTTAAAAGATCAATTAGAGTACAGAGAGAGAGAGAGAATTCAATCTTTCTCTCCTGGAGTGCACAAATTGGACTTCACTCTCATTCCCTTGAACGGGCAAGTCATGGCAGCAGTTTCTGTAACTTCTTTAATTTCAAATAGCCTCTAACACTTAAGAATTAAATCACCACATCTAATCACAGCTTCTTGGACCACACACTCTTTGAGTGGTAGCTAAAGCAGCACTGATCGGATCTAATTGGAAAAGTTGAACAAGAAAATCAAGTATTTTGGCTCCGGAATGACACCGAAACCTCTGATCTTGGAAGAAAAGTGACATCTGGTTGAAGAAAGGAAGAAACCTGCGTGTGTGAGAGAGAGAGAGAGAGAGAGAGAGAGAGAGAGAGAGAGAGAGAGACTGAGACCTCTCAATGCATTACAAATCGACTCAGCCAAAACCCATTTTGCCAGTAATAATTTAAGGAGTTTCTATATAATCAGTATTCCATCTGCATTTTTTCTTTTATTCGCGTTCCCTCATTAATGTTTCTTATTCCTGCTTATATATATTACCTTCATATGGTCTATCATTACTTCTGAAGATGGGATCGTACGTATTCAGAATATTCATCAGTTAATGAGCTATGCAAGAACGTAAAGCCCATTATTATTATTACTATTTTTATTATTATTATTGTAAATGTTTACTTTTTCTACATTTATCAGTTCTAGGTGATGATGCAAGAATATTTCCAAGCGTCGATATGGAAACAAATTTTTTAAACTTTCAGATTTGTTCCTGCCTTCTACATATATATCAATTTATGTATATATAATTATGGCGAGTATTTAAGGAAGACAAAAGCTCTTGAGTAACAGCTGGTTGTTTGGTGTGCCCTCAGCTCCCCCGGAGGACGTGGAGACCTTGGCTACGTGGACGGCTCGTCTTCCCTGCAGGGTCAAGAACGTTGACACTCCCTTACTGGTGCTGTGGTACAGGAACAAGGAAACTCTCCCCTTCTACAGGTGAGTATGGCTTCAGAAAACAGGCCATTTCTTGCATAGGGATTTTAAAACATTCTTTACATAGGCAAGAAGGAATATCCATGCAATTCTAACATAATCTAACATAACCAAACCCAACCTAATCAACGTTATTTAGAATTACATAATTTTGATAAGTGTCTCCAATTTTACCTGGCAATCTCCTTGATTTGGATATCACTTGTGAGGAACTCTTTATGCCAGCTGCTAACTCCGGCGTTTATTCATATTCACTAAAATTTTTTATACTCTCTTGTCAACAGTTAAAACACCTTCGCTTTCCATGAATATTATTTCTGTGAATATTTCAAACTATTGATTACTTCCATCTGAAGGTCACCTGGTTTCATGCAATAGGAACAATACCTTATAAAGTTGGCCGTTTATGAGGAAATTTAAAAGTTTTCCTTTTGGAATTTCTACAAATTTGCATTAAATTATATATAAAAATGGTGCTAGTTGCTTCTTGTGCAGACTGCTCTGACGATCTGATAAGTTGTTATACCTAACCGGAGGCAGAGAAACCTGGTCATTCCACCTAAACTATCAATGCCCAGGAAAGTTTAGGTTGAATGGTGACATTTCTGTGATTTTATCTTCACTATACCAACCCTTTGTCAATGCTAATCCCAGTGACACTCATGGCGGGAGATGATTAATGAGAATTAAGCATGTAGGAACGAGAAATAACCATGCAGAGCACAGTCAATTTGTTTTCGTTTTTCCTGTACTTTGAAGATACAACTGCATTGTTTGGCTCAATATCAATACCTATCTTTGTTAATAGAAAAGCCAAAATTTGGCTTAATGCGTAAAGGGCACGATTTTAAACTTTAAACTAAGCAAAGGTTTTGTTCAGATGCAGATGGGATGGTTAAATACGTGATCTATTTATCTCGATTTTGCCAATAAAATATACTGCCAGTCAGTAGTGTAGAATCATACAAGTATTACTAAGACTGGTCTCACTTGGTGATGAATGATGTTCATACAAACAAGTATTTCTGCCACTTCTCCCACTTAGTGATGAATGAAGTTCGTACGAATGAGTATTATTGCCACTTTTCTCACTGTTGAATGAAGATCATTCGGGTGAGTATTACTCCCCTCTTTTCCCACTCAACCATGTAAAGTGCATCATATACGCTGCGTAATCTATATCAGAGGACCACTCACCTTTAGTGTTTGTGGGGCCATGAATTTTTAAATACAAAACGGAGTTGTGGTCAGTAAATATATCATTACGGCCTCCCGCAATATTCACCCACTTCTATATTATTATTATTACCACGAATTTGCTTACGAGTTTATATTTTTTATAAATATACTAATCTAGAATAACTTTAGTTATAACGAATAATAAAGCTGTTTCTTTAATTTTTTTATTTTTATTATGAACAGTATTATTATTAGAATTAATATGATATTTTTTATTTCATTAATTTGACTATTATAACAATTATTTATGAGTCACTTCTCAGAGAGAACTTGGTTGTTGCAAGAAATAATTGCACTTCTCTGTTAAGTTATCTGTAGCAACGCTGGGGATGCGTTTCTCATTATTAACATATTAAAAGTAGTAAATGCAATTCTTCTTTATTTGTAATATATATTCAATATTGAATTACTTAAGGTACTGTGTGTTTTAGTCGACTACCTGGTACACAAATCAAAGCGAGGATTTCATAAAGCAGGTGTCAGTCCTCTTCTCTTCAGGAAGAGGGTCCATCTTTCTAGCAGTCTCTTGTGGCTTCTAATGTTTATTATTGTGCAGTCTCCGTGGTGCAGTGGTAAGACACTCGCCAGGCGTTCCGCGAACGCTTTGTCATAGGTTCGTATCCTGGCCGGGGAGGATTTATTGGGCGCAAATCCTTACCTGTAGCCTCTTTTTAACGCAATAGTAAAATGTGTACTTGGTTGTAACAACGATTCTTCGCGGCGGGGATCGTATTCTAAGGACTTGCCCGAAACGCTACGCGTACTAGTGGCTGTACAAGAATGTAACAACTCTTGTATATATCTAAAAAAAAAAAAAAAAAAAAAAAAAGGTAATTGATGGTCAGATGTGTAGAAATGCTAAGTGGGAAGTAAACAATTTGTGAAAAGCCACATCTTTAATGGACTGGCGAAGTAGCTGAGGAACTTATGAGGAGAGCTAAGCAAGTGTGACTATGTGTCTTGGAAAGGATGTGAGAACAACAAGCTGGGATAAGAGAACGAAGCGAAGGAACAGAGTTCATCCATTCCGGCTATCGGGGATTGAGCATAGAGTCTGTAAGAAGCGAGATCCTTGCTGTACTAATCAGTCCAAATCAGTTGGAAGGGGAGTGCGGGTCAAGATGAATGGAATTGTGTTGGATGCTTTATCTTAAGATGATTTCGGGGCTTAGTGTCCCCGCGGCCCGGTCCTCGACCAGACCTCCACCCCGAGGAAGCAGCCCGTGACAGCTGACTTACTCCCAGGTACCTATTTACTGCTAGGTAACAAGAACATCAGGGTGAAGGAAACTCTGCCCATTATTTCTCCCCGGCGCCCGGGATTGAACCCGGGACCACAGAATCACGCGTCCAATGTTCTGTCCGCTCAGCCACCGGCTTTAGGAATGCTTCTCACTCACATTCAAATTCGATAGGATTATTTTAAAATGGTTTTTACATTTATAATTAGATTAGTTTACAAAAAAATTACAGTAAACTATTTACCTAAAAGAAATTAAATTTTAGTAGTATTTGAAGGACTATATATATATATATATATATATATATATATATATATATATATATATATATATATATATATATATATATATATTAGATTTAGTTTGTGAGTTTTAGTGTGAGTTTTAGATTTAGACACTTTTAGATTTAGAAGCTGCATTCACCAGTAACTCTTTACATTTGTCAAATTCAGATTCAGAAACTAAGGTCGTAACAGTTCATAGAAACCATAACAATAATGACTGAACTAGCCAGAGATACATCAGTTAAAATCATATATACATTTCATGGCATAAAGGGCATAACATTCAGCTTACAAATTAAAAGGTGATATATTTTGGAAAAACAAACTTTTTACTTCGCAACATAAGGAAACGCAGTATAATGAGGTACTATAAGAGTGACGATCACGTGATGAATGATCTAATTTGTAGCCTTCAGTGCTATACGCTCCGGGTCATGAAGGTGAAACACGGCGTTATTTAAATAAACAAATTGTCATTCACATATTTTTGTTTATTTATATATTCATGAGTTCTGACATTCTAGTAATGGCTTCGCCAGGGATCGAACCCGGACCCTAAGGACTACGAACACCGAGCGCTTTCCACTCAGCCGTCAGGCCCGTCATAATCGCAACAATTTTCACTTGACTGTTAGAGAAGAATATCACGAAAACGTTTCCATTTGATATATAAATGGAATTTTTATTTACCAAATTTATCTTTTTCTATCCATGTGGTAAACTGATCCATGTGGTTTTAAATTGACATAACTAATATTGAATACCTTTGTTGTTGCAACCTTGACTGAATTTTTAATATATATATATATATAAATATATATATAACTGAAAACTCACACCCCAGAAGTGACTCGAACCCATACTCCCAGAAGCAACGCATCTGGTATGTACAAGACGCCTTAATCCACTTGACCATCACGACCGGACTAATGAGGTGATAGCCGAGGCTATTTGAACCACCCCACCGCCGGCACTCGGATAGTTATCTTGGGCATAGCATTTTACCAAATCACCTCATTCTTTGGGGCAACACGTGAGGAACACAAATGCGAACAAGCCTGAATGGTCCCCAGGACATATGCAACTGAAAACTCACACCCCAGAAGTGACTCGAACCCATACTCCCAGAAGCAACGCATCTGGTATGTACAAGACGCCTTAATCCACTTGACCATCACGACCGGACTAATGAGGTGATAGCCGAGGCTATTTGAACCACCCCACCGCCGGCACTCGGATAGTTATCTTGGGCATAGCATTTTACCAAATCACCTCATTCTTTGGGGCAACACGTGAGGAACACAAATGCGAACAAGCCTGAATGGTCCCCAGGACATATGCAACTGAAAACTCACACCCCAGAAGTGACTCGAACCCATACTCCCAGAAGCAACGCATCTGGTATGTACAAGACGCCTTAATCCACTTGACCATCACGACCGGACTAATGAGGTGATAGCCGAGGCTATTTGAACCACCCCACCGCCGGCACTCGGATAGTTATCTTGGGCATAGCATTTTACCAAATCACCTCATTCTTTGGGGCAACACGTGAGGAACACAAATGCGAACAAGCCTGAATGGTCCCCAGGACATATGCAACTGAAAACTCACACCCCAGAAGTGACTCGAACCCATACTCCCAGAAGCAACGCATCTGGTATGTACAAGACGCCTTAATCCACTTGACCATCACGACCGGACTAATGAGGTGATAGCCGAGGCTATTTGAACCACCCCACCGCCGGCACTCGGATAGTTATCTTGGGCATAGCATTTTACCAAATCACCTCATTCTTTGGGGCAACACGTGAGGAACACAAATGCGAACAAGCCTGAATGGTCCCCAGGACATATGCAACTGAAAACTCACACCCCAGAAGTGACTCGAACCCATACTCCCAGAAGCAACGCTATGCTTCTAAAATGCTATGCCCAAGATAACTATCCGAGTGCCGGCGGTGGGGTGGTTCAAATAGCCTCGGCTATCACCTCATTAGTCCGGTCGTGATGGTCAAGTGGATTAAGGCGTCTTGTACATACCAGATGCGTTGCTTCTGGGAGTATGGGTTCGAGTCACTTCTGGGGTGTGAGTTTTCAGTTGCATATGTCCTGGGGACCATTCAGGCTTGTTCGCATTTGTGTTCCTCACGTGTTGCCCCAAAGAATGAGGTGATTTGGTAAAATGCTATGCCCAAGATAACTATCCGAGTGCCGGCGGTGGGGTGGTTCAAATAGC